AAAATGGGTAAGAGTTTTGTCTATTACTCATCTCCTCACCTGATACATCTACTGATACCTCTACTGTAACCACATCTTACCCTAGTAATTACTTTACAGCAGGGGTCCCCAGCCCCCTGGTCCATGGACTGGCAGCGGTCCGTGGCATGCCAGCAACTGAGCTGTGGAAACAAGCAAAGCTCCATCTGCGTGGTGTAGGAAGAATGTAAAACCACTCCGCCTCCAGTCCACGGAAAAACCTTTCTCTGTGGAACTGGTCCCTGATGCCCAAAAGATTTGGGGCCACTGCTTTACAGGACTGAGTATTGCAATTAGATAAAGCATTTCGGATCAAATATAAATTATTTGATATACCATATAATATGATATTCCATATTAATACCATATATGCATGTCTATAAAATGGCAGGGTTTGCTGGTATTTCGATTGCAGTCAGAGCAAAAGAACAAGGGTATCAGGTGCATGATACGATGGCATATACGTGGGTGTATGTATGTATATGCATATCTGTATATCTATTAGTCATCTTGTCACCAGGAGTGGCTGGCCAAAAATCACCCTGCTGGCTTCCATTCTTATGGAAGAAGTCTAGAACCTATGTCTCCACTTCTAATGCAGCATCTTGATTATTGTACCACATTGCCTTTTGTATCAGTGGAGATCTTTCCTAGTTTTCACACAGGGAAAACCAAATCCTAATCCTATTCAATAGCCCTTCATACTGAAAATAGGACCTTAAGGAGGCATGCAGAAAGAGACTAGAAAGGGCTTTAAATTAATCAGGGAATGTATATTGTAGTCCCGAATAACATCCTGGGATAATAAGAATATGATAGTTAAACAAGGAAAAATGCATCAAGTGCACTTTTGAGGAATAAGCTTGCAGTGAGAGAACCACTATATAATATTTCACGTTTGAAGCTATTAAAAGCACATCCTGTATTTTAAATAAAGAATTACTTAATTTTGCCATTGTCTTATTTAAGTACCCTTAAGTCATTCCCTCAAACATAGTAGCTCAAATACCTCTACAAGCACAGTAAAGATTGGGGCTGGGCATGCTTTGAAAATAATTTAGAAGTGCTTCAGACCTCATACAGTATAAGCACAGCATTTCTCAATTAAATTAGCCTGACCTTTTTCTTTCTTTCTTTTTTTTTTATTGAAAAAGTTTTCAAATACAAATTTCCCCCCCTTTTTTCCCCTCCCCCTCCCCCTCCCTAACCCCCCCTCCCCACCCATCCCCCCCTGTGACTTCTTCGTAACAAAAAACCTAATTCATAACAGATTACTTACTCCCTCCTCTAAATACTGACCTTTACTTACTAAAAATATTATTAATATTATAACATCCCCCTTTATCCATACATTTCAGAAAAGAAAAAAAAAACATTATACTATAACATTGTAGAATAACTTCTAATTTAACATAATAGTATTATAACTCCCAATTTGGCAATAATCTGCCCTTTTTCTCCTCTCCCAAACTTATATCTATATATTATTACAACAATTCAAAACCACCTTCCACTTTAAAACTATACGATAAGTCCTACTTTAACATTTAATCTTCTATATATATTACTATAACGTTTCAAAGTGGCCTTCCCCATAAAATCTAGTTTAACATTTAACATTTAACATTTATTCCACTCTATCCATTTCCTCCACTCCCCTAAGTATATCACTTAAAAATCCCTTTTCTTAAACTAATCAGTCTGCTAACTAGCTTATTCACCCACTGTCCTGCAAAATTACCATACACAACAGTTCTTAATATCTTTGATTCACTGCCCACACTACTTAAAAATATATGTATATATATTCCATTATATCTAAATAAAAAAAGAAAGGACAATGACTTTAAATTTATCGTCCATATAATATCTTCTTCGAAGTCTTTCCACTGGATTATTAGAACCAACATCCATAATAGGGTAACATAGCTTGCTGATGCAACAGTTTATTCAAAATCTTCAATCATATCTGCCCCCCATCAGTAGTAAATATCTTCTTATATGTATAAAAGTAAAAACAACCACCCGAGTGACATTATAATTATATTCCATATAGTAATAATTTGTGGGTTTGATTTCCATCCTGGTTTCCTTTCTACAGATTGTGTATCAACTAGTCGATTTTCATTCTGCTTTGTAGATTGGTCTTGTTGGTTTTGTTTTTGTGTCTCATGTTTCTTTTTTATCCCTTGTATGTCCCCTAATTGGTTTCCATGCTTGTCTTTGCCTTGATAAGTCATCACATTAAAGTCAGATGCCACTTCTCTCAAATTTGTAGATAATCCAGCTGGGGTATCCGATAAATCCAAAGGCAATTTATCTGGTACAGTCTCTGTAATTTGATATTCTCCCTTTATTTCCAGCTCCTTCTGCTTATCCTGTATTATACCTGAAGATGTTAAATTCATTTTCAACCTATTTTGATAAAATTCTTCCGCTCTTTCAACAGTATTTAGCTGGTATCTTTCTCCTTGATATCTCAATATAATACCAACTGGGGCGTCCCACCTAAATGGGATATTTCTCTTTTTTAACTCAGTCACCAGAAAACCAAATTTCTTCCTTTCCATTAATATTTTAGGTGGGAGTTCCTTGTAAATCCAAATCTTTCTTCCATACAATTGCAAATTAGAATTAAAGGAATTTTGCACAATATTATTCCTAATTTCTTTATCTGTGAAATAAATCACCACATCTCTAGGCAGTTGCCTTTGCTTGGCAATCCAGGAATTTATTCTGTAAACTCTGTCAATCCTACAAAACACTTCCTCAGGTTGAACCTTTAAAATCCCAGCTAGAATTTCAGAAGATATTCTCCTTAAATCATCTCTGTTATTTTCCTGCAAGCCTCTTAGTCTTATCGCATATTCTGTAAAATTATATTGTACCATTAGAACCTCTTTTTCAATCCTCTGTTATAGATTTTCTACATTACCAGACTTTTGAACAGCATCCATTTTAGGTTTTTCTTCTGAGCTATTATCCTGAGTGTTTATCAAATCATTTTCAATCTTTTGAATTCTATTGTCCAATTTATCTTGAATTTCTTCCATTTTAGACTCTAGTAAATTATTATTTGTATCCAGCTGTGTCATAAATTCTGAAAAACCATTAGCCACTTTTAAAATTTTTTGCTCCAAAAAATCAAACTTAGATTTCACCAATTCTTTAATTTCCTGCTTAAATTTTTCAAGATGCTGATTCACAATCTCATCCCTTCTTTCAATCTCCTCTAAGAGAAATTCTATTATATTAAAATCAGGTTTCTGAGACTGAAGAGTTAAAACTTGTTCCTTTAAGTTGTTAATGGGGGAATCCCTCCCCCTACTTGTTTATCTGACTTTATAAGTCTCAGTGCCATGTTTCCGCCCAGGCAGGCTTTGTTAAAAAAAAAAACAGGAAAAAAGACTTCTTTCCCATCAACAACAATGTCAAGACACCAGGGGGAAAAGAGAGAAAAAAACACAGGAGCGAAGTTTTGTCTACAAATGTAGCCAGTGGTATTTATTCCGCTACATTGTAATAATAGGAAACGGAAGGACTTTCCCTTTCAGCCTCTTCTCCAGCCGCGGCAGACGCCATTTTAAAAGGTTTTTTTTTTTCCCTCTCTTTTCCTCTTTCTCTTAAGTACTTTTTAAAAGATAAGTAAAATACTTGCGATTCAGTATTACAGGTCCAGCTCACATTTTCTTTGAATAATCTGTTAAATTCGCAGGCTTGCTCTTGACGCCTGGCTCTGCATTAGCAGAGGTCTCCCAAAGCCCGGAGCAGCGGCTGGGGATATGGGGCATCTCATCCGCTCCGTCCCAAAAGTAAAAGAAAAACTTTTGGGACTCTGCAGAGAGTTCTACCCACCCCTGCCGGCTCTATCTCCGTTTCCTCATGGAAATGGAGTTTTTTTGAGCCGCCATTCCGTTGTGAAGGCGGCTCTGACAGGCAGTGGAAGCTGACGATCCCGAAGGAGCATCTGGCGGCGGCCAGCAGCAAACTGGAAGCCAGCCTGACCTTTTTCAATTTGACTTTGTTTCTAGTGGACAATCACTTAAATATGAGCCAGCAGTGTACAACAGCAGCCAAAAAGCCAATGCAATCCTAGCTTGCATTAACAGAGGGATAGAATCAAGATAATGTGAAGTATTAATACTGCTTTATAAAGCCTTAGTAAGACCACACTTAGAATACTGCATCCAGTTTAGGCCACCGTATTATAAAAAAGATGTCGAGACTCTGGAAAGAGTGCAGAAAAGAGCAACAAAGATGATTAGGGGGCTGGAAACTAAAACACATGAAAAACAGTTGCAGGAATAGCATATTTCTAGTCTAGTGAAAAGAAGGACTAGGGGTGACATGATAGCAGTATTCCAATATTTGAGGGGCTGCCACAAAGAAGAGGGGGTAACTAGAACTAAGAAAAAAATTTCTAACAGTGAGAACAATTAACCAATGAAACGGCTTGCCTTCAGAAGTAGTAGGTGCTCCATAACCAGAGACTTGAGACTGGACAGACACTTATCTGGAATAGTACAGGGTCTTCTGCTTGAGTAGGGGGTTGGACTAGAAGACCTCGGGGGTCCCTTTCAACTCTGTTATTCTGTTATTCAGACTTCCTTGGTGTTTTGGGGGGGAGGGAAAGTTGCACCTTTAATGGGTCCATCACTTCAAGAAGCATATCTTTTGTGAGGTTTTTGCCCTGAGAAAAGAATGAGTTCCTTAAGGAATAATGGGTGTGTGGTGTTTGCATAACTTTTGTAACATTTCTTTCAAATCACCTTTCACACTAATGCAGCCTCATTAAGGATTTTGGGGAAAAAATTAAACTTTATTGCTTGCTTTCTTTGGAATATAGGGATTGGCCCAAATCAGGCATACTAAAAGGGAATGCTTGATTATTTTTTTTTAAAGATAAATATGGTGTGGAAATACCTCTAGTAGATCAGGAACTATCTTGATTTTCAGGGGAAAAGATGACAGAAAACAGCACGTTCAAAAATTAAAATTGCTCTTTATTTGTCATGCAGACTTGCGTAGAATCAAGCATTACAATTCATAAAATAGCAGCAGCAGAAACAATCACCTTTTCCAATATTGCTTTCACATTAAAGAAAGGAAGAAAAGAGGTGACAAAGAGAGAAAGAATGAGAACGAGTACTCATCTGTGGAAACATACATAAGCACCCTGTGTGGAAACATAACATTGCATAACATTGCAAGGTAACAGATCATTTGTGTCTCAAAGCTAATTTTCTGTAGAAGAGTGCATGGTTAAAATAGTTTGTAGCTTCATATAGACTCCATCTGAAAACCCAAAGAATATGCTCAAAAAGGAGAAAAGATCAGAAATGTTGTTTGGAATGAGACAAGTCCATGAAGTTTGCCAGTCTAGAAACCCTCATTATATCTGTTTTTATATCAAAGCTAACACAATGTATCGAAGAAACCAAGAAAGTGTTTACAGTTATTGGTTGTATGCATGTTTCCCCCCCTACCCTTACTTTGGACATGTCCAGGAGTACAATAACTGGCAAACTGGAATGTCTCTTGCACAAAATAAAAGATGCTGATGTAGGTGAATAAGGCTAGGTTGCAGAAATCGGTTTTGTTAGAGAAATGTTTGGCACAAGATTTACACCCATTAAGATTTCTGATATTGATTGAACAGCTGATGCTGCAATGATAGAAGTAACGTCCAAATGCAGACATTCTTTTTGTAATATCTGCTCACAGCCCTCTCACTGATCTAATAGTAACAGACTTGGAAGGGACCTTGGAGGTCATTTAGTCCAACCCCCTGCTCACGCAGGAGACCTGTACTAGGGATTTGAACCGCCAAACTGTCAACCTTTCTGAAACGATTACACAAACGGTTTGCTTAATGGGTTTGCATTTCCTTCTGTGAATCAACTGTGGCCTCCCTGCTAAAGCTGTGCCATGTGTTTCAGCCATGATACATCAAGTTCCAACAGAGGAACAGATCGAGTGTGTTGGATTTGGATGCAGATATCCAGGTGAATGTTAAGAGCTAGACCTTGATGGAAAAGGTGAAAGTGTCAGAGAGGAAAAGCGCTTTTTTTGTAGTTTTGTTTTCCCTTGGCATTATTTACATGACAGGCACGATGAGCATGGTTATGCGAATTGTCATTCAGGAGGAGGAGGAGAGGACCCGACTTTAATAGGCAGTTTTCCTGCTTGTACTGGTTTTTGATACAATTTTTACACTGGAACCTCCTCCTCCACCTGAGGAATGGCGACCTCCTCCACTACTGTAACAGCTCCCACCTCCGCTGCCGAACCCTGAACCAAAACCGGCTCCTCCATAGTTGCTGCCACAGCTAATGCCATAGCCGCCGCCACCACTACCGAGTCCTCCTCCGAGTCCTCCTCCAAGTCCTCCTCCAAGTCCTCCTCCAAGTCCTCCTCCGAGTCCTCCTCCCAAGGCCAGGCCACTTCCACCACCATATCCACTGGTAGTAGTGTTGCTGACTACAGCTGGAAAACAACGGTGGGTGAGGGGTGGAGAGAAAGAAAATTAAGTTGCTTCTGTGACTTCTATAGAGAAAATGCATGTCAAGGCCCCTTTAAAAAAAAAAATCATGCACGCACAAATCTATAAATAGGGACGATACTTACAATAGCTGACATTTCCAACGCCTTCTTGCAGTCTAAAAAGCAATGTAATAATTGGAGTTAACGCTTCAACTTACAGTAAAATTACCACATTTTTAATATAAAAAGGAGTATTGCGATGACAGTAATATGAACTCAACCTGTGTCTAGAGGCAAGTGATGAAACATGCCTCATAATGTCACAGCACAAATGTCACGACTGACAGACTGCTGTCACATATTGGAGCAGAAGCAGGGTTGGGCTGCTGGGGGTTCGCAGGGGTTCGGGAAAACCTCTAGCTAAGATTCTGTGCATTTCGGAGAACCCCCAAATCCCACCGACCAAATCTCAACTGACCTGATTTCTTCTCCTTCTAGCAGCGTCCTGTAGGTGGCGATCTCGATGTCCAGGGCCAGTTTGACATTCATGAGCTCCTGATATTCCTTGAGTTGCCGGGCAAGTTCTTGTTTGGCTCTCTGTGAAGCTTCTTCCAATTCATTCAGCTTTTGCTTAGCATCCCTGAGGGCAAGTTCACCCCGCTCTTCAGCCTCAGTAATGGCTGCCTGAAGTTTGGCACACTGGGAATGGGTATAACAATTTTTATTATTGTTCTTGGAGGCCATTCATGTTAAAACTGTTACAACAGGTTCTCTTTGGATAATTCAGGAAGAATATCTCTTCCAGCCTGTAAGCACAGAAAACTTGAAAATCTCTTCTTAAAGACAAAACATACTTCTGGGCAACAAAACAATTGTATACTACCAATATTAGTATATAAAACACATAGGTGCTGAGTACACATCTGCATCTAAAGCAAATGTTTGTAGTTCAATGCACCAACATTGTAATAATATTTCCGTAAATGGGACTAAGTGCTCAGATTTTCTCCAACACTGGAAACAAGCTATATATAAGGTGATTGTTCATTTTTGACTCAATGTATTGTGTAACCTGAACCATTTAAGTTCTAAGTTTATGCCTTAGCATAATGTGGAAATTCAGCCAATTATGGCTTAAAACCATAGTTAGCAAAGATGAATATGCAAACTCCGCTATTGCGAAAGCAGATCTGTCCCATGCAATACGGTAGAACTGGGCAAAATTCTATAAAACTTCACTTGCAACTTGTTCTCAACAACTGCATGATAATTTTTATATTTATATACAAATCTTCTGTTATTTATCATGCTCTGAGCAAATAATGCCTCCGGATAGATATAAATGGAATAATTCCAAAAGAAGCTGTTGAAACTGCTGATCTATCATTGATTTTTTTTTTAAAGACGGATGATAAAAGAACAAAAATATTTTAATAATATGGAAAAACTGGCTCACTGTAGTTGCCTGGCTACCTTCCTTTAGAACACATTAGGGTGTGGAATAATTTATATAATAACCTGCCTGTCTGCCTGCTTGTCTATGCTGTAATAAGATGAAGGAGGGGATTCCTGGTTTAATTTGCAATGCCTAAGAGCTATTGCAAAGCAACTAACTGCAACTTGTTCAACTTGATTGTGTAGATACCTTGCAACATTTGTACAATGAGAGATGTACTATCTGTGGATTCATTAGCAAAATCCCACAGAGTACAAGAAACACTAAAATGTGGTTATGATTAGAATAACATACTGTTTAAAAAGGAGAATTTTTGAGTGTGCTAGTCTTTGGTGCCCCAAAGGTGCTTTTTCAAAAGGCAACTGGACTTGTTTTATCCTTAAAAACGTTTTTCTTCTCATCCAAGAAGCTTCTTCAGTTCCATTTCTTCAGTGAAATGTTTTCAAAGAAAAAACAAGTCCGGTTGCCTTTTGAAAAAGCACCTTTGGGATAACTATGACCTGGATGACTGGGAATCTCCATAGACATAGTCTTTGGTGTGTATAATGGCACTTCACATGCTTCTTACTTATTTCTTGTAATGCATGCTGTTTAACCACAGTCCATATTTTTTTCTTTATTTATGTCATCTGAATGCTGAATGGCCATCATTTCTGGTTAGCAGTAACTGGCATTCAAATAAATTAATTTTAGTTAATGCTAACCAGAAATGGCAACTGCTTGAATTTCAGTTAATATATTTAACTGTTGCTAGTTTCCTTCCTTCCTTCCTTCCTTCCTTCCTTCCTTCCTTCCTTCCTTCCTTCCTTCCTTCCTTCCTCCCTCCCTCCCTCCCTCCTTCCTTCCTTTCTCTTTGCTTCTCTTTCCTTTTTTTCATTCACCAGTGATACTTGCCTCAATATTTCTTCTACCAATATTTTGAAGCCAAACCAAATAGTACTTAAACCCTTTTTTTAAAAAAAATATACTGCTTCAGGAGTGCTTCCTCATGAAAAACTCACTATCATGAAAAATAATTCAAAGTACTTTTCTCTCTAGTTTTCTTTTCTGTATGCAAGGGATTAAATTAGTACTCAGAAAACTGTTTATTCACCCTATCAGTGGTACAAATCTGCTCTGGCAAAGCAAAGGGCCTATTCTTTAGTCCGTTCTCACAAACTAAATGGCAAGATCCATTAAAATACCTGTTTCTTAACAGCATCAATTTCACTTCGCAGTCTCTGGACCAGCCGATTAAGCTCAGAAATTTCTGACTTTGTGTTACGAAGGTCATCACCATGGCGCCCAGCAGACACTTGTAGTTCTTCATACTGACATTCAGAAATAAACAATGGTATCATCAAAATACAGGAGATGGAAAATGACCCCGAGCACAGAGACTGGGGAAGACATTCTATTATGTGGGGCAGGGGTTTTAAAACCCGTCGCTAGTGGTTCACTCATGGGCATGCATGTGCCGCTTCTGCACATGTGCAGAAGCATCCAGGCGGGTGGCCGGAGCCTCCCGCTGCCGCCGCTACTGGTTCGCCTGAACCGGGGCGAACCGGTAGCAACCCACCACTGATGTGGGGGCAAAAGTTCTTTCAAGGGACTCTTTGTAGGTTTAGGAAATGAAGTTACTTAGAGTCAGGATCACAAGCTTAGGCCTGAAGCTTGCAGTTCGGGAACACATGTCTTGGCCTTCCTAAGATCCCGTCAGCCAAGGTCGTTTGGCCAGCAGGGTCAAAGAGAAGAGTCTTCTCTGTCATGGCCCATGCCCTCTAGAACATCTTCCCACCAGAGGTGAGATCTGTCTACACCCTTCTGACCTTCTGGAAGGGCCTTAAAACCTGGCTCTGCCCGATGGCTTGAGGCCCCAATGGGGACACACTATGCTGGAAGTAGCAGATTGAATGAGAGACAAAAGGGGACTACTGCTGTACCATCCCTGTTTTGGGGTTTTAACCTTTTATTTCATTATTGTTAATTTAAATACTTTTTATTCTTTTATATTTATGATTTTATGTTGTTGTAAGCCAGCCAGAGGCACTCTAGATAATGAGATAAGTATAAATAAATAAAGATATGAATGAATGAATGAATGAATGAATGAATGAATGAATGAATGAATGAACAGAAAGGAAGCCACACTAATGTTAGCCTGATGGTCACAAAGACACGGTGAAGGAGGAAGGAGCAGACTTCTCACCCTCCTCCTGCTTTATCACATGCTCTGTATCTGTAACAAGTCAGTTTTGCAACAGGTGGGGAAAAGCAAGGAAGCAGGGGGAAGTGTCTCTCCCTGCTCTGGTCTTGGGACCCACCCATCCTCTGCATCCAGCTCACAAGTCCCAGACGCAAAAGAAAGTTGGTGAACAACATTGGAGCATTGGACTAAAGAGTTCTCTCCATTGGACCCAGGTCTCTCCAGGTCTGTGACCTGTCAATGCAGTTATTTTTAGAGCCCCTCTCCTCTGCTCTGCTCTGCTCTCCCCTCTCACTTCACTTCACTTCACTTCACCTCCCTTCCCGCTCCCCAATAACCACACTGTTTTCCTACCAAAGGATTTGGGGGAAACAGAAATGGCCTATCCCAGCCAGTGGTAGGTTCTAACCGGTGTTACCACTGGTTCGCTTCGTGCATGTGCTTTGCACACAATTGGCGTGTGCAGGCTCGCTTTGCTCGCACACACACCAAACTTGCACTTTGCCCAAACACATTGTAATTCAATACAGCAGAGGCATGTCAATCCGCTCTGCCGCGCCTTACAGCTGGGCTAAAAATGAAGGAATAAAAGTAGGTATAGCATGGGGGCGGGCAGGAGGGCCCAGCTGACGGTCAGAGCGAACCAGTTCGCTCTCACATCAAGATTTTTTCTACTGGCTCTCCTGAACTGGGGAGAACCAGTAGCAACCCACCACTGATCCCAGCTCACATGTATGTGCCTGTGATTTATTCCTCAGACAATTTGAAAGGGGACTAAGCCTTTCACCTGAGACACCTGCCTATGCTCACCCAATCCTGAGCCACCACATGTTCTGGAGTGTGATTGATGGCTGCTTCTCCAGCAATAGGAAACACCCTAGGCAGAGAAATACATCTGAGTGCATCAGTCTCTTTCTTTCTCATTTGCCCATTAAACCTGGAAGGGCAGCGCCACTCACTGGCACAATTGATACTGGCATAATTTTGTCAAGGATGGGAAGACAACACATTTACAGCCTGCTGCCCTCTAGTGCAGGGAATCCTGGGGACTGTAGTCCAACCAATCAGGAGGTGGCCTGATTATTGAAAGTTGCTCTAGACCTTTAATGAATTTATTATTCTAGTTACTAACCTTGGTTTGATACCATGATTCGGCCTCAGTCCGGCTCCTGTTGGCAATATCTTCATACTGTGCCTTGACCTCAGCAATTATGCTATTCAAGTCTAGGCTTCTGTTATTGTCCATGGACAGTACGACAGAGGTATCTGATACTTGCTGCTGCATTTGAGATAATTCCTGCAAAAAAAATAAATAAAACAAAAATTAGGTCACCTGGACACCGGGGCAAAAGTAGAATGCTCTTGTTGAAGCAGTTATGGAAAAATGGACTAAGTACCTAACGGGGGTAGAGAACTTTCTGAAATCCTAATTTAATTTTGTTTGAAGCCTTTCAATTTACATTCCAATTTGTAGCAGCCCTTTAGTTTTCTTAGTAAGGCCTTTTGTTAGAGTTAGGAATTTTAGTGAAAGAAGGTGTGATTCACAATAAATGGAATCCAAGCTCAGTCAAAATATGTTCTGTAACTCATAAATGTTTCCAAATCAAAGTGATTAATTTCACTCGGAAAAGTTGCCAAGGAAGGGGGTGGATATTTTTTTCCATTGCTTGCTCGCATCAAGTCCAGACTAGACATCCCTGAAGTGTGGAGGTCCCTTATTTAAATATAGTTCTGTCTTGATCCAGGAATAGCTGGAGGAAATTGAGTTTATATTGCCAAAGATGTGATAATTGATGTCATTAAGTCTCTGCTTGCCTAAACATTTAGTCAGCTCTTCAAACATATAACCAAGCAAGTAAAAACTGGTGAAGGGAAGATATCTTTGGGAGTATATCCTTTCTGAAGGAAAAACTGATCTAATATTTCCTGCAGTGGAACATTAAGTAATATACACAACAAGCTTCAACAAATCAATCTGCTATGATCATCTTAGGAATTCCAACTCCTCATTCTTTTAGCATTGTTAAGAAAATGGTATTATATAGCTTTCCTCCTGCTTATTTCTTTTCTTAATGACAAGATTTTGCTTTTTTATACTGATATCTTTCTGCTGCATTAAGTTGATGTGCTAACAAATAACTGGGTAAGGGGAAGTGGTGAGGGGAAGAAAATATCCATAATGGGAGACTTCAAATTGGAGAATTTATCAAGTTTCAGAGTGATATGTAAAACATTGAATACATTCAGTTTGGTCTAGTGATTAAGTTAAGGTACCAAGCTAGAAGCCGGTACCTAGTCTAGTCTCACTTTAGGCATGAAACGGCTGGGTGATTTTGGATCATTCACTGTCTTTCAGCTCAATCCACTTCACAGGGATGTTGTTGTGAGGAAAATTGAGAAGGAAGAAATATTAGGTATGTGCACCACCTTGAGTTTTTTATAAAAAGAATAAAGGCGGGATTAAAAATATTTTTAAAATATTTTGTATTGGTATTGAAAGGGAGCTGGTTTTTCTGTTAATAAAAATAACCTTTTTTTGCTTTCAGTAGCATTTTTTAAGTTCTTCCTCCAATATATTTATAGTCTACTTAATGGCAAATAGAAATATAAGAGAATTAATTAAAGGGATGAGAGATAATATAGTCCATGATCTCTGGTAGTACCATAGTTCATGCCTTGCACATATAAAATGCCATATTCAATTCCAAGTGCTTCCAATTAACAGATCTTGGAAAGATTCTGCCTTTAATCAGTGTAGAAGATTTAGCAATAGGACTTAAGACTTATATACTGCTTTCACAGTGCTTTACAGCCCTCTCTAAGCAGTTTACAGAGTCAGCCTATTGCCCCCAACAATCCGGCTCCTCATTTTACTGGCCTTGGAAGGATGGAAGGCTGAGTCAACCTTGAGCCGGGGAGACCCGAACTGCCAAACTGCTGGCAGCCAGTGATCAGCAGAAGTAGCCTGCAGTACTGCATTCTAACCACTGTGCCACCGCGGCTCATTTAGATTTAGATTTAGATTTAGATTTAGATTTAGATTTAGATTTATAGATTTAGATTTAGATTTAGATTTAGATTTATTTAGATTTAGATTTAGATTTAGATTTAGATTTAGATTTAGATTTACTAAGGCTTTTTCTAAGGTTCAAGTGTAGGTTTACATTGAGATCTAAATTCTCTAGTCTTCTGATTGAATATAGACCTAGAGCTTATTTTAAATTTAGAAATAGAACTTTGATAATGTAATAAAGGAAACTTACCGCTTCAAACAGTGCTTTCAGGAACTCAATTTCATCATTCAGTGAGTCTGATTTGCTAGCAAGTTCAATCTTGTTCATGTAGGCACCATCCACATCCTGCACAAAACAGAAGAAAAGTCTGTTGCATTTTGAGCAGAAAGCAAACTTGCTCGGCTCAACACATTCAAACCTTCTTTTTCATCTCATTGAGACCCCAATATCGTAGGCAAATCAATTACCTTCTTGAGCACCACAAATTCATTCTCTGCACCTGTTCTCTTGTTAATTTCATCTTCGTATCTGTTAGACAAGAGGACCGAATGATAGAATTAGCAATATGCATGGGTTGCAATATGAGAACTGAACATTACTTCAGACAGACTATATATAAGACTATATAAATCCACATCTTATCAGTGCATTCTAGAAATCTTCGTAGTCTACGCCAACTGAATTATTCCTTTGAAAGTTAACCTATTTTGCTTTTGGAAGATCAATCCTTGGAATTCCTCCAGCTGCTTCATTCATGATATATTTTCAGAAACACAATTTTCATAGGCAAGTACAAAGAATTTCAGGTACATCTTTTCTTTCTTCGTTATAGTTAGTGAGAGAAGAGTGTGCTTCAATAAGCACATCACTGTGATCCATTAATTTGGCCTATCTTTAATTTTGATGTGGCTTTAAAACGCAAGGGCAATTTTAAAACACCATCTTTGACTTGAAATTGAATGCCACATTTTAAGCTCAGGTCTTCATAAGGTCTTCATTTGACATTGATTTAACATTCCTTCTTCCAATGGGAACCCTGAAATGTAGTTTGGTGAACAGGTTTGGCAAAATATCAATAAGCAGCCTACACTATAATTCCCAGTATTTTATAGATAGAATCATAATGACTATAGCTGCTATAAAATTGGGACACAGTGGTAGTGTAGTTTGCCCTTAAGTGTTCAAATGCTTGCCCCAATTTTGATGCTTATGCCTTGGCTCAGTAATGGTGGTTTTGAAGCCATATATTGCAAATATTTGATGCGGATTTGCATGCTTTACCTACTTGGGGTATATATATCTAACATTGTCTTAATTTCAAAGAAGTACAGCTGACATGAATTTAAAACCCACAGGTCTGGAGGGGAAACACATCATATTCAACATTCTTATCAGATAGATTGGATCTCCTTGCTAAATGTTCACCCCAATCAGCTAGCTGGCAGATAGCTTGTAGAATGTTCCTAAAGGCCACAAGAGAGACTGTTATAAAGATATACAGTTGTGCAAAAGTCTAAGTGAAGTATTTAATTTGTAGCGGTGCGTAATTTAATTTGCAATTCTTTTGTGAGGTTTTGCCAAGATAAGCTTGTACATTGCAGGCATCCCTCTGTGAAGTCTCGTAACATCAGGCCAAATCAAACTATCCGGCAGGAAAGGTGGGGCTGGAATGAACAAAAGAAGGACGGGAGGGTTTTGCAGATTAATTCTGAACAGTTTGGTGCCAGACCACAGCCCTAATCCGTTTTGCCTTTGAGCATGTGGATTTCTAAACCTGAATTAGTTTGAACTACACAGAAAAGAAGGCTGGGTGATTAAGGGAGAGTATGAAAAAAAAAGTAAACTTCGCTATAGGGTTGCAAACTACTGAGCAGAATCTATTTTGTCCCCTTTCTACTTCTGTTTGCTATTTAGCAAGCTATTGCATACTTGTGAAGTAGTTAGCGTTTGTTGATCTCATTCTGACATAATGTTCACTAATGTTCATAACCAAAATTTAGTCCCCCAAAGCTTTTCTAGACTTCTAAGAACATAAATAATTTGGTTAGGCATGAGGTTCACGGCTAAGAATTACAGCTCCATGTAAGCCTTTATCAACCTGAATAAATATGTTAATAATGTGGATTTGGGAAGCACCTGCCTTGGAACTTGCATTTAGTTCAAATCACAGGTGAAACAAAACTCTCAAATGTTTTAGAAAAGGAAAGGAGGGGCGTTGTCTGCCATCTGGCTATCTGATTTCATTTCATTTCATTATTTCATTTTTTAAAAACTTATACAGCCATATACCCAGGGGTGGGCAAAAGTGGCTCTTTTACAACCTGTGGACTTCAACTCCCAGAATTCCTGAGACAGCCAAGCTGGCTGGGGAATTCTGGGAGTTGAAGTCCACAGGTTGTAAAAGAGCCACATTTGCCCACCTCTCCCCTAAACCCAAAATCCAGGTTTTGTGATAGGAATGCAGTGCAAATGCACAGGGTTCTTCCCACTAGAATGAGTTCACATTGCTCGTTGGATGGTTTGAGGTGAATAGAGAATGCTTGCTGTTCTATACATTCAGATAATTAATATTGGATTCTTTACATTTACTGTATCTGGCAGTAAGTCCCTTTGGAATGAATTGCATGGGATGGGGCTGTATATTCAGCAAGAAATATCAATCTTTTATGTAGACGCAGGCACTGCAATAAGTCTTGGATCTCCAGAGAGTCAGGAATTTGCTTACAGTGGAAACTTTATAACTATCCTACATAAACTGCTTCATGCAGAAATCAGGCAGAACACAGAAATCAAAGTCTGTTTTGGAGTTGTTGTTTTTATCCTGTTTTTTTAATGTTTTTAACCAATGGATTTTTGGCCATTGTTTCCCCAGCCTTGAGAGATGGAGATTCTGCTCAGTCCTTACATAACGGTTCAGTCTAGCCTAAGCAACTCTGGTCCCCATCTTGCCCATTTCAGCCCTTTCAATATGTTAGACTGAATGGAATAGAATGGAAAACTGCTTACTTGTTCTTAAAGTCCTCCACCATGTCTTGCATATTCCTCAGCTCCATGTCTAGTCTTCCCCGTTCATTTACTAGAGAATCAAGTTGTTTCCTGAGGTTGTTGATAAATCCCTCAAAAAGGGGCTCAAGGTTGAGTCGCTGAACCTGAGTCCCTTGCTGTTGTAAGAGCTCCCATTTTGTCTCAAGGACTTTGTTTTGCTGCTCCAAGAATCGGACCTGCAAGATGGAACAGACAAAGACATGAAAATGAGGCATGTAAGCAAAGTAACACTTCAGTGGAGCGAACTCGTCCGGGAAAGAGATCAATGGGTGCACACCCTGCTTGTTCCTGGAAGCCTTTTGCTGGCCACTTTGGCCCTTGCTCCAGTTTAAACAAAACCTGAATGGCTTTTCCCGTCTTATTTTCTCTTGTCCCTTCTCACTGGGTAGATTGGCAGCGCCTTGGAGCAGAAAACCATTATGCCTCTTATGTAGCCCCGCAAAGTTCCACATCTCTAGATGGTGTCAACCATGTGCAGAACAAATTGAACAAGAGAACAAATCAAAAACAGCAATTCAGGAGGGACAAAAAATAGCAAAGGAGGCTGAAAAGGGAAGGGGAAAAATGGGGGCCAAAGAGGAGGTTGTGAAAGCTAGCAGGGAACGGAGCTGCTGTTCCAAGTGACATGAAAATTAAGGTTAAAAATATATACTTTTCAGAACGATCATTTAGCAATTATATTTTTTATCCTCCGTAACCTAGTCTCCACAGCTTCTGTGAAATCACACACACTCTATAGTGTGCAGAGAGCCCCTAACATGGCAATGAGATTGCAACATCCAAAGCAATGATAGAATGTTACATGTCATGCTCCCCTCCCAAAAAATGCTAAGTTGCAAGCTAGATTAATAACGGTATTATAATTTGGGTGTGAATTCCTTCTGTTATCTGCGGTGAATATATGAAGCATCCTTTCTTGGCCTCAGCATTTAGCATATCTGTGCCATCTATTTTTAAAACATATTTTTGATAAATTGACCTCAGTTAGGGTTGGTATTTGTGTATTCCACAAAGGATACAAACTAAGTACACAAATCCAGAAAAACAGAGGAAATAACTGCTTTATTCTCAACACTGTAATATTTAAGAATGGCATTGCTGACTTTGAAACTAAGATGTTTAAATTGTCTATAATTGGGGGCTTACTTTTCATCAGTTCTTGGGCTAGAAGCCCTTCTGTTATTTTACATGACCCTTCATCCTCAGAATAAAAAAGTTAATTGAACAATTTGATGGTGGCAATGACTTTGGACAATATTAGAAGTAATTGCCTGTTGTTGCTCATTTGCCTATATCAGATGTGACCTTATCAGAGAGCACCCAAAGACAACTGATAAATAGCCACTCGATTGGTGACTTAAGTTTGTGAAGGGTTACTTCAAATTTAGAGGCCCCAAAGTTCAAGTAAAATCACCCCCTCTTACCTTATCAATAAAGGAGGCAAATTTGTTGTTGAGTGTCTTGATCTGTTCTCTTTCTTGAGAACGCACTCGCTGAATCTCTGGGTCAATCTCAAGGTGGAGAGGTTGCAAAAGGTTCTGGTTGATGGTCACTTCTTGGATGCCACCAGGGGGGCAAACTGGAAAACCTGGACCACCTCTTACAAAACCTGGTCCACCTACCAGAAAGCCCCCAGCACCTCCACCCATGCCATAGCCAGCTCCACCTCCACCCATGCCATAGCCAGCTCCAGCTCCACCTACACCCATACCATAACCAAAACCAGCTCCTCCAAGGCCATATCCTCCACCATAACCAGATCTTAGACCTCCACAAACGGTACCATAGGCAATTCGTTTGCTTCCGCCCATGTTGTGCAGGCTTCGGCTGCCAAATCCACCAAGTCCATAGCTGCCACCCCCTCCACCTCTTGCTCCTCCAACTCGAGAGACCGAGTAGGAGCTGAAACTTCTTCTCCCACCACCACTACCACCAACAATTGCAGACCCAGAGGTAAAGCCTCTGTTAGCTCCTCCGGAGGATGCTCGATAGGAAACACGACTTGTCATGATGGTTTGCTTAGAGAGAGAAGATGAAGAGAGTTTTGGATGATAAGCAGCACTGCAGAGAAAGCAGAGAAAGAAGAAGGCAGAACCTCTCTGATATAAAGGAGCAGGAAACCTCCCCTTTTATCTGTTTGGGAAAGAACCTGGCACAGAATTTGAGACAATTGGATACTCAAATGCTTGATGTGCCTTGCAGCAACTTGTCTTCTGTGACACGCCTACTCCAGGCAACATAACACCACAGAACTGGCGTAGAGAGTTTGTGTGTCAGAGAGAAAGATCTTGAAGGGATCAACATTTTTCCCTTCTTTTATTTTTAGGAGGCTGTTTCATTAGCAAGAAAGCAAATAAAAACAGAGCATAATAATCACAATACTGTACATTTATACTCTGGCTACTCAACTAATCAAATATAAGGAAAGCAGCTATAATTCTGATCATTACCAAAATATGTCATATATATATATATATATATATATATATATATATATATATATATATTTCAGTCTGTCAAGAGCTGTCTAGGGTCTTCAGTGTGTTGGGCACTGGGAGCAAACTTGTGAGGTGGGACAGACACCTTACAATAAATTAACTTTAGTTGGGTCCATAGGTGATCCTTTGTGAGCGGTACTAGGTCCCTGTAGCTAAAGTCTTTGTTGTGCACATTCAATGGATTGGACACAAGTAATCTGCATATAATACATATATTTGACACTGAGGATGGTCAATAGTAAGGTATTCCATAGTTAAACAGGTCGCAACTCAGTTCTCTATTCCTTGAAGCCCCATTTGCTAGATTGCATTTCCTTTTATACAGGGGTTTTTTTTGAGGGGTGGTGGTAGTTCAAACTATATTGTATTCAGTGGCATTACTCCCTATGTGCTTTTTCAAGGCTACAATCTTGAAGTCCTCATCTGCTCCTGTAACAGCAGAGACACCTTTGGCACATCGCTAATGGCCCTTGTGTAAGACTTCATGCATTTCTGTGTAGGTGGCTGTATTTGCCTGAACTCTGTTGTAAAGATCTTCTGTCAAACAAGTCCCGAAGTTACTTTTGTTTGGGAATACTGCAATTTAGGATCAGAAGGGTCTATAGATCAGCTTGTGGTTTGCATACACAGTAGATTAAAATATTCCTAAAAAGCAAGGAATGGTACACCTATCTCTTATGATTTAGCGGAATGTTTCCAAAGAATAATAGCCATTAGACTGTGGGTTTGTCTGCTTTGGGGAAATTAAGAGCTTTCCTTTGTGGAAAGTACTTAAGCAGAAGCTGCACAGCTAACTCTCGGGAAAACTCTAATTGCAAGAACCTGAGCAAGTGCAGTTGGACAAGATTATATCTACCGGCTATGAAATTTTATGCTTTTATCTCTGATCTTTCTTTCCTGTGAAAAGGAGGACCATTGCGTGGAGGAAGATTCTGCTGCACTGTTCTTACATATTTTTTTGGTTTAAATACCAAGGGTTTTAAAAAAAAGAAACGTGACTTTTAAAAAAAAAAGATTAAAAAAAAAACTTTAGGCCCCTAACGTCAACATGTTCCCATACTAACTTGTTTTTGGCTCGTACAATTGGCTTTTTATTTAAACGGAGGAATGCATTTTATTAGAAATAATATTTATATTGATCACAATAATTCAAATGAAAAAATCCTCATGTTAAATGCCCCCATTACCACCACCCACAAAGATTCTGAGGGGAATTGTCTGTTAAATAAATATCATTTTAATTATTAATACATTTAGTTTTGGCAAGAAGACTCCTGTTTTATTTTTAAAATTAAATTCTTTAATTTTAATTTTATTTTTAAAATTCCTTAAAATTAAAAGAATATTCCCGTAGCTGATTTCTACTACGCATATATATCTTCCTTTGCCTTCCTCTGTTCATACATGCAGAAACATGCACCTTATAATTTTTAAATCATTTATTCTGAAATAGTCTCAGTGGCATTACTCTGGAACCAAAGACTAGAAAGTTAAAAGAAAGTCACGAAGAGCAAATTTTGACAGTGAGAGGTAATTTTATGTTGTCCTTTCCCATAATGAATTGTGGCCTTAAGAGAACCATTACTTTTAGGACAAATTGTGCGCACGAGGATCAGTTACCCCAGACTCTGATCAGTTCAAAAATCTGAAATTTGTTGAGGTAGGATGCTTCTTTTTGACTGTGCACATGGATCACATCGTGGCTTCTTGACCCCAAAGGAAGTTTGAAGGGCATGTCATGCTGTTACGTTCCAGCTAAATGAGTCTTCTCTGGATCCGAAACCACTAGGAAGCCTCACAGAAGCCACTTGGTGCTACCCCCAGTAGCTGACATATGCAATTTTGTGGCATTTACATACAGAGAAGACAGCTATGTGGTAAGACTAGTAGAATGGGCAGATCCATCCCAGAAGAATAAGAATTTGCATAAGACCTGTGAGATACAAGCCTATCCAAACTTGAATGGCTGTAGGGCATCGGCATTGTCCAATCATTTTGAAGTCTTTCTGAGATCTGGGTGATGATATGAACTGTTACTGGGGTTTTTTTTTGTCCTCCTCAGTCTATTGAGAATCTTGACAGAACCTGAATCGAAGTGCCAATTGCTTTCCTCATAGCATTCTGAAGAGTCTTTTGCTTCATTTTCAAGCATTCCTGTCGCTATGTGTTGCCAGGAATTTGAGTCATTCACATTGGAGGCACATCAAAGTATCCTTGATTGTACTTGAGATATTATTTAGAAGGAAACCTCAACCGCAAGGGAAGCCTATACTGTAGCAAGGGGGTGCTGTCACCTTGGAAGTGAAGCAATGGAGCGCACCTTAATGCTTGTGTGATTTGTACAAACTTTTGTCCCTCCCAGCCGTTCCTTGGGCAGAAGTCAGTTCAGAAGTTGAAATGAAAAAGCATTCAGTGTGGGGTTTAGTGCTGAACAATCAATGCATGCACACACTGTATATTTCAATAAGTACTACATATACATTATGAACTCGTAAGAGGCACGGTCATTCAATATTACAATGCTTGCTCTGTATTGATCAAAACCAGTCACAAATCTGAATATTTCAGCTAAAGAATAAGCCTGTGATGGTGAACCTATGGCAGGTGTGCCAGAGGTGGCATGAAGAGCCCTCTTTATGGGTATGCACGCCGACGCCAACTGCTCTTCCGGGTTCCGTCATGTGCTTGCGTGGAACGGCCAGCTGGTCTCTTATGGGTTCCGGTGTGCGCATCCGCATTGGCCAGCTGATCTTCACATGAAGACCAGTTGGCCAGTGTGCATGTGTGCGATGGAACCTGGAAGTGCATCTGGCCGCCGTGCGTATGTGCACTGGCCAGCTGCTCTCTTCCGGGTTCCTGTGCTCTAGCATGCGTGCATGCTCCAGTTTTGGCACTCGGTGCCAAAAAGGTTAACCATCACTGGAATAAACTGAGGTGGCATAGCTATGGCACCAATCAAGAGGCCCAAAGGTGAATTAGTGATTACGTAGAATGATTTACTTTAAATAGAATGAACTTCTTCTTATCCCTGCTGAAATTTCCGTGTTCCATAAGCTTTGATTCAGATAAAAATGTCTTACAAAGATGGATCTGAATACTCAAGAGCCAGAAGGTTCTTGTGATTTTTCCCAATTTGATTTTCAATGGAAAGTTTCAATGCTGATATGTTGCACTAGAAAAAAAAAAAAGTAGTGGAAGAAAGCACTTGAAGTGAAATGCAGATCATGCCTTCTCAGCAATCTTTGCAAGAGATTACTGAAACTCAGAAGACGAAAAAGAATAACAAAAAAAATTGGGGTACTTTGAAATCTCTGCTCATCAGACACCAGACTCCCCAACTTAATTGTTTTTCAGAAGACAAGCAGACACATGAAACTGTCTATTCTGTAAACGACATTAAAAAAAAAAATGCTGGAAAAGGATGAGGAAACCCTGGGTACTTATTCAAAGTTCTACGTAGTACTTGCATCAGACACCCAAGATATTCCATCTGGATTGTTTTTCACAAGAGGTATGCAGATACTCTCTATTGACTACCTTTATTACTCTGAGAAAAAAAATTTTTTTTTTCATCCTCTGTTCCTCTATAACTCTAGGAGGGGAAAAAAAAAACATGGGAACCATAGTTGAAAAGCTTTAATTTTACTGTTTCAAAGTGTAATATGTATTTCTCTCTCTCTCTCGATTCTGGGCTTTTTTTCTTCTGGCAGGGCCTGCTGGCTGCCAGAAGAAAAAAAGCCCAAAATCGAATGGATGTGACCACTGAGCTAGGGCTGTAGAAAAATCTTGGCTACATAGGAAAAACCTGGCTAAAAGAAACACACACACACACACACACACAAATACACACACACACACACACACACATACATATATCTCTTTTCTTACTCTTCGTAGGATTTATGTGTGTTTTTCTTTTAGCCAGGTTTTTCCTACCAAGGTTTTTCTGCAACCCTAGCTCAGTGGAGTCACATCCACTCGATTCTGGGCTTTTTTTCTTTCTGGCAGCCAGAAGGCCCTGTCTCTCACCAGGCAGCACAGGGCTTGCTGGCTGCGAGAAAGAAAAAAGCCCAGAATCAAGTAGATGTGACTCCACTGAGCTAGGGCTGCAGAAAAATCTTGGTTACATAGGAAAAACCTGGCTAAAAGAAAAACACACATACATACATACATACATAAATACATACATACATACATCTCACATTGCTCCTAGAAGCACGAAGCCGAAAACACCAGCCTGAAGATGACGAATGAGACTTCGTTGAAACGTCACCAAGACACTTCCAATTTTACGCGGGAGAAAACCCAAACAACAAAAGACCTACATACAAATACCCGCGGTAGTCCTTTACTTACAGCCTTTCATTTAGAGACCATTGGAAGTTACAACGGCATTGAAAAATGTGACTTACAACCAGTGATGGGATTCAAATAATTTAACAACCGGTTCTCTGTCCTAATGACTGGATTGGGTGTGGTCGGGTGGTCATGTGACTGGGTGGGCATGGCAAACTCAACGTTACTCATCACCCGGCCACTTGCCTCAAAGGCAGAGGTGGGATTCAGCCGATTCGGACCGGTTCGGGCTAATCCCAACACTGGCTG